TGCCATTCCTGGGAGAGCCTCTAGATGTCCACAGAACCCAGCGTTCCAGCACAGACAGAGCTCCAGCGTGCCACGATTTCCATCCTCATCCCAATCAACAACAAATCACAGAATTCCAGGTTTTGAATTGGTTTTGGCTGGAAAAGACCTTCAAGATCACCTTGCTCGTGGCAGGGACACCTTCCAGACACCAGATGGCTCCAGGTCCCACTTCTCTTCCCCAAGCTTGACACTCCCACTTCTTGCTCGCCGCCTCGGAGCGATTGCAGCTGCTGAAAAAGAGGGAAAAAAAATCCACAAAAAAAGTCCCTCTCTGCCAGCTGGAGTGGAGCTGATGTCATTGAATCTTCCAGACCCAAGATCTGAATCCCTCCTTGAGCTCTTCTGGAACCTTATCTCCCCCTCCCTGCTCCAAAAAAAACCCCCCTCGAGGCAGAAAAGAGGGGAAGAAATCCCACCTGGATGAAGAACTTCCACATCCCAGACTCCGGTGGGAGCTGGAAAACTGGGAGCTGGAAAAGTGGGATTTCAGTGGGGGAAAATCTTCCTGTGCAAGTTCTGAAGGAAGGGGAAAAAGGGGACCCCATCCTGGCCCTGCTCTGGAGCCTCCACTCCTGAAAATCCCCGTGTTGGATTAAAATGATTTGGTGGTTTTTTTTCAATTTTCTTTTTTTTTTTTTTTTTTAATTTTTTTTTTTTTTTTTTTTTTTTTTTTTTTTTTTATTTTTTTGTTTTCTTTTTGGTTTTTTTTTTTAACTTAGAGATAGGGCAACTGAGAGGGTGTTTTCAAAATTTTGATTTTACTTTTAGTTTTATGAGACGGGCGAGACGAGAGGAATAAACAAATGTCATAAATAATAAATAGAATAGAAATACATGCGTTGCTTTGATTTTTAAGATTTTTTTTTTTTAAAGCCTTCTGAGCTTATATTCTTGCAGAGAACTTTCTTACACAATTTTCTGTAAATAATCCATTGTTTTGTATTCCTCTGTAGAGGTGGAGAAACTTGATGTACTGGTAGTGTGTGTAATGTCATTGGAGAGGTGGCACATTTACTCTCCAATCTATCATTACCTTTGGAAAAGTATAAATGCTGGAGTCAAAAAATAAACTTCCTCTTTTTCACCTTTGCAATAGCACTGGCTCATGTCGTGCTTTCACGTGTCCTGTAGCGACATACATGTTATAAAAATAGAAATAAATGTTATCAAATAATAGAAATTAATGTTACAAAGTATAAACACACGTCATAAAAATAGAAATAAATGTTATCAAATAATAGAAATAAATGTTACAAAAATAGATGTCATAATTTATTACAATTAGAAGTTAACTATTTTTTAATTATACTATATTATAAGCAGGTTTTGATTTGTTAGTTGTAGTTGCACTATGCTGTAAATGTTTTAAAGCTACGCATTTGAAATTACTCTTTGTGGGTTTTATTAGAATGTATTTTTATAGTTCTATTTCTTTAAGTATTAAAATGAATTTTTTACAGTTCTAGTTTTAAAGTATTTCATTTTACATTTTGAAACTTGTTTTTAGTTAAACTTTTAATAACATTAGCTTTATTTCATGGCATTTCTAAGCCATGTATTTCTCATTTTAAGGCTTGTATATATGAGTTTCCTGTTAATCTTTGGCTTTTCCCTTAGGCTATAAATTTATTTCCCACATTATGGGACGAGCAGTTGCTTTCCAGGAGCCACTCCAGCCGCACAGTTCCCTTTTTTTTTTTTTTTTTTAAAATTTCTTTTTTTTTTTTTTTTTTTTAAAATTTCATTTTATTTTTATTTTTTTTTTCCCTCCAGCTGGGCTCTGTTCCCAACGTTCCCCGTGCACAAACAAGCAGAGGAAATGCCTTTTCCACACCCGGGACACTCTGTCCCCACGCTCCAACCATTGTGGATCCCTCTTCCCCACCCCCTTCCCCAACTTGGAATAGGTTGGAAGGGACCATATAAGGTGAGAAATATGGAATAAACACCCCGGAGAAGCTTTGGGGCTGCTGGAACTTTCTTTCTTCCCGGCGATCCCGACTGGATCCCGTAGAAAGGACAAAGGCTGGGCTGCCACAGGAGCAGCTGTGGCTTCTCCTGGCAACCAACCCAGACAACTCCAGAGCAGGAAAAAACACGGATCTTATCTTGCTGTACTGGCAAAAACAAATTTGTACCATGCCCGGCTCCCTCCTCGGGACCTTCCCCGAGTGAGTCACCTCAGGGCCCATTTTCTCGCCCTGTGGCTTTGGGTTATTCCCACTGGCCACCTCTTTTTTCCTGCTTAGGAGCTCCAGGAAAAGCAGTAAGGTGCTGGATTCTTCCCCATTTATTCGCCTTTGGCGGTGGGAAAGAGATTTGGGATCCTCTGAGCCCCACGGGAAAGCAGCTTGGAAGGGGATGAATGCCTTAAATAACATTTTAGTGTATGTAGGATGTTGTCACTGCCCTGGTGTTTTCTCTCCTGATTTTCTTGGTTTTTGGAGGAGATTTGCTATTAGGAAAGTTGTTTTTTTTTTGTTTGAACAAGTGAAAACCCCACAGCGTTCCCGACTCCCAGATCCATCCAGATTTCCAGGAGCAAACCCGACACCTCGAGGGAATTCCGGCAGCAGAGACTGCTGGAAGGGAATTGCCACGGGATGGAGGGCAGGAGGGGAAAGGGCAGCACTGATTGACAAGTCTGGAGGAATTCAGGGAGGATTCGGGATGTGGAACACGCTTGGGATCATATCCTGGACGTGTTCCCTGGCGTGGGGCTCCAAGGCCCTTTGGCTTCGCTGGAATGTGTCGAAGGGGGGACGGTTTCCTTTGCAAGGCACAGAGGGATGGGAACTGGAGAGGGAGAGCGTAAACAGGGCTCGGATCTGAGGGGTCAAATATCCCATGGCAGGGAAGGCTGGAAAAACCTCCCACCTTTCACCAAATTACTGCAAATCTCTAATTCTCCACTAACCCAGAACCTTTTTCCTAGTGGGAGAACAACGGGGTGCAGAGGAAAAAAGGTGCAATTCCTCCATTCTGTACCAAACTAGGGAGTAATTCCCTCTCAAGGAGGAATTTTGTACCAAACCAAGGGGTAATTCCCTCTCAGGGAAGAATTCTGTACCAAACTAGGGAGTAATTCCCTCTTAAAGAGGAATTCTGCACCAAACCAAGGAGTCATTCCCTCTTAAGGAGGATTTTTGTACCAAACCAAGGGGTAATTCCCTCTCAGGGAAGAATTCTGTACCAAACTAGGGAGTAATTCCCTCTCAAGGAGGAATTCTGCACCAAACCAAGGAGTAATTCCCTCTCAAGGAGGAATTTTGTACCAAACCAAGGGGTAATTCCCTCTTAAGGAGGAATTCTGTCCTGCGGTTTGGCAGGAGAACAGTTTATGCCCCACGGTTTATCCGGTGCTTTATCGGTTTATACGATCAGGTGTGAATTAACTCTGAGGGGGGGAAAGGAGGCGATGGAAGGGCAGGAAAAGTGCCAGGAACACTCGGACAAACAACCTCTGAAGGACAACTCCCAACAAAAACACCTCCCCAGGGTGGGGAGCCCTCCCATTTCCACTGCTGGCTCGCTCCATGGACATTGTTCTCCTATTTCCTCAGCTCCCAGCATTTTCCTGAGCTGGGAAAGCACTAAGGATTGGGGGGAAATAAAAAATAAAAAAAATAAATAAAAATAAAAATAGGGTAAAAAGTGAATTAATTCCTGTCCTGGATTAATGCTGATCCAAGGAGTGAAATCGGAAGGTTTCTTAGAAGCCAAAGTCTCCTTTGGAGGGGTTGGGGCGGGGGGGGAGAGGAAAAATGCTGTCCTACTCCCCAAATCCCAGGGCCGGGGTTTATGGAATGGAGGTGGGTGTTTGCTGCGGCTTAAATCAATGTTAGGGAGGGGTATTTTGGGGAAGAAGGAGCGGGAAGTGTCCCCAAGACAGAATGGGAAGCAAAAGAGTCACCACCAGGAGGGAGGGAACCCCCAAAGCCAGGCTTGGATGCTGAACCCCCAAACTCGCCCTTATTTACCCCAAATAACAGGGGGGAGTGTGTGTGGGAGGAGGGGGTGGCAAGAATACCACCGAGGGGGCTGAGGGAACCCCTGAAGGGATTCCAGGGGATGGAAGCAGCAGAGAGGGGGGGAAAATCCTGCCCAAAACTCGACCAGTCCCCCCAGTTTCATCCCGTACCCCAAATCCGCCCTTATTTCCCCCAGTTTACAGGGGAGGGCTCAGCGGGGGGACTGATGGCTGCCCTGGGTGGGGAGATTCTGAGGAAGGGGGTGAATCCCCCCCACCCATCGCCCCTCAGGGCCGCTCCCAGTCCGCCCAGTACAACACGGCCCGTCCCAAACTGGGACCAACACCCCGCGTCCCCCCCGCCCGAGCCTGGGAACATGACATCGTGTTCCTCGCTCCCCATTGGCCAGACCGCCTCCCATCCTCGCTCCCCATTGGCCCCCGCAGCTGTCACTCCGCCCCCGTTCGTCCCGCCCCACTGAACACGCGCGGCTTTCCTTCACCCGCTGTCCACGCTCCTCAGCCGCCCCTCTGATTGGTCAGCGCCGCCGTAAACAAGGCAGCGGCAGCCAATGGGCGCGCTGATCACGCGAGCAGCACGCCGGGCCACGCGCCCTCGGCGTGGCGGCCCCGGCAGCAACAGGCGCGGGCGGGGGTGGGCGGGGCTACCGAGCCTATAAAAGGCAACGGCGGCGGTAGCACTCGCAGAGCGCCGAGGGCCCGGGACTGAGCTGCCTGTGGCGACTTCGCAGCGTCTCTGAACAAAGCCTTCCATCGCTTTTTAAAATTTTTTTTAATTTTTTTTTCCGCCTCGCACTTGCTTGGCTCGGGCGGGTTTTGCTGCTTCACGGGGGTAAAGCCCTGCGAGCCGTTGCTTTGGGCGCCCTCGTCCTGCCCCAGCCATGGTGATGTTCAAGAAGGTGAAGAGCTTCTCGGTGGCCTTCAGCGAGCCCGACAAGGTGTACTGCAGCGGGGACAAGGTGGCCGGGCGCGTGCTGGTGGAGGTGGCCGAGGTGACCCGTGTCAGCGCCGTCAGGGTGCTGGCGTGCGGCGTGGCCAGGGTGACCTGGGCCAAGGGCCCGGCGCAGTGCCGGCAGGAGATGGAGTACCTGCGCTTCGAGGATGTGCTGGCCCTGGAGGAGCAGCCCACGGGTGAGAAACGAGGGCGAGAGTAGCTTTAAACAGCGATTCATAAGCCCAGCCCAACCCAGGGCTTGGCTACGTAGGGAATGGATGGGGGACAAAAAGACCACAAGCACCCCTGGGTCACAGTGATGACCAGAGCAGAGTTGGTGCTGTGTGTGGAGCTTGGGAAAAAAAACGACCAAATGGAGGAAAACTTCAGGAAGTTGGGAGGTTTGGTCAAGCCAAGTGGAAGTTCGGGAGCTAAAGGACAAAAAAAAAAAAAAAAAAATCAGAGCCTGGGGAGCTTCCTGTGGTAACATGGTGGCACGGTCAGGGATGGGCACAAGATCACACCCTGGGGCTGGAGGTGGAGATAAGGGGGAGCTGGAGGTGGGGTGGGGCCGGTGAGACACCGTGTTCTGCCCCGGGGTGTTGGTGAGGTGAAGGGAGAGAACACGGGGTTCCCGGGTTGTGTTACTCAACACCCTTGGAAATGAGGATTACTCTGGAGCTCCAGCTGATGTTTCCCTTTTCTCCCCCTCCAGATGAGGACGGCTCCGTCATCCTGAGACCTGGCAACAAGTACGAGTACAAATTCGGCTTCGAGCTGCCCCAGGGGTGAGTATGAGGCAGCAGCTGGCACTGGAGGGGGGTGGAATTAAATTAAATTAAATCGCAAAGTCCACGCTTTGGCTCTGGAGTGACCCCCCTGCGTGTCTCTAGGCCGCTGGGCACCACGTTCAAGGGGAAGTACGGCTCTGTGGATTACTGGGTGAAGGCGTCCCTGGAGCGCCCGGCCTGCCCCACACAGCAGGTGAAGAAACGCTTCGAGGTGATGGATCCTGTGGATGTGAACACCCCGGAATTGCTGGTGAGCCCCGAGTGCTCCTCAGAGGCTTGGGGGGGAAAAGAAAAAAGCCCTTGGGGAGGGTCAGCCCAGCCCAGGTGTCTTTAATCAGATCTGGGCTGAGCTGGGATTAAAGGTGGGATTAAAGGTGGGATTAAAGGGTTCTGGATAATTCCAGAAACTGACCTGGGTGGGGCGTGCTCTGTACTCCAGGGGAACTGGAGGGTTGGTTGTTAAAAAGGGAAGAAAGAAAAGGAGGAAGGAAGGGTGGAGGGTGGGAAAGACAGGATGGGGCCAGTGTTTGAGCGTACTCTCTCCCCACAGTCTCCAGTCGCAGCCAAGAAGGAGAAGAAGGTGTCGTGTATGTTCATCCCCGATGGACGGGTGTCTGTCAGCGCCCAGATCGACAGGAAGGGCTTCTGTGAAGGTGAGGATTGCTGGGAACAGGGAGCTGGGGAGCCAGGAGGGAAACCCCCAGCATCCCGAACATCTGGAAACCCCCAGGATCCCTAACATCTGGCTCCTTCCCTCGGCAGGCGACGAGATCTGCATCAACGCCGACTTCGAGAACACCTGCTCGCGCATCGTGGTGCCCAAGGCGGCCATCGTGGCCAAGCACACGTACCTGGCCAACGGCCAGACCAAGGTCTTCTCCCAGAAGCTCTCCTGTGTCCGTGGCAACCACATCATCTCTGGTACCTCGGAGTCTTGGCGTGGCAAAACCATCCGCGTGCGGAAGCTCAAACCCTCGATCCTGGGCTGCAACATCCTGCGTGTGGAGTATTTCCTGCAGGTGAGTGGGGGGATGCTTCATCCTCGCCCTCATCTTCCTCCTCATCCTGGGATCCTGTCCCACCAAGCCTCTAAATCCCGGCTCTTCCTGCAGATCTACGTCAGCGTGCCAGGCTCCAAGAAAATCATCCTGGAGCTGCCGCTGGTCATTGGGAGTCGCTCCGGCATCGGCAGCCGCAGCTCCAGCATGGCCAGTCAGACCAGTTCTGAGATGAGCTGGGTGGACCTGAACCTCCCCGATGCTCCCGAGGGTGAGTGGGGGGAGATCCACAGTGGGGTGGGATCATGGTGGGGTCACAGTGATGGGATCCACAGTGGGGTGGGATCCTCAGTGGGGTGGGAATCACAGTGGTGGGGTCACAGTGGTGGGATCATGGTGGGATCACAGTGGGGTGGGTTCCTCAGTGGGGTGGGAATCACAGTGATGGGATCACAGCGGTGGGATCATGGTGGGATCAC